GCGGCCCGCGGGGGTGTGGGAGCCAGCACCCGGCTGGCTGCGAGGTGGGGACCGGCGTGTTCCCTCCCGGCTTGCCCCACCGCCTGCCAGCCCTCGCCTTCTGCGGTCTGCACCTTCCACCAGGCACGTTATCAATCTTTCTGATGGAAAATTGCTTTCTTTTATTTGCCATCCAAGGTAATTGGCATCTGTTGATGTGTCTTGGGTCTCTATTTTTATCAGCCGTTTGCACATTGACACATCTCCACTCCGCCTCATTATCCCAGCGCGTTCCAGACCTATTGCTTTTTTATTATTATTTAGATGCACGATGCAAAGGAAATGACTAATGAGGCCATTCCCCTCCCTGCTGGCCCCGGGCTCCCCGCTGGCGTGCTGGGATGCGCGGGGATGGGTGCCAGGCCCCCACCCCGTTGGGCTCCCCGGCATCCCGCATCCCATCGGAGCCTTTCCTCTGCTGAGGACATTTGCAATCTCAGCGGCTGTCCCCGAGCTGGGGATGCTCGGATTTGCCAGCGCTCGCTGTTTTCTAGCTTGTCATGGTTTTGGGGTTTTTTCGGAGCCCAGTAAAGCTTCCTGGAGCCCAGGGATGGGTTTGATGATGTTTCTTGGTGTGGTTCAGAGGCAGCTGGTACCTGGGGGGATGCCAGTGCCATGCCCACGTTCAGTGTGTTATGTTGGGGCTGGGCAGGTGCCTTCCCTGAGCCACCTCCAGGCAGATGTTTTGGCAGATGTTTCCAGGGATGTTTTGGCTCTGGGGAGGCAGGAGGGCAGGGCCGGGTCCTCCCCAGGCGTGAACCAGCCCAACCCTCGCGTGGTCCATCGCCTCTTGCAGCGATGGTGCTGCACTCCCCTGGCAAAGCGTCTTGGTGGGCTCCCCAGTTTGGGAGCTGGAGGGACCCCAATTCCTGCAGCACTGGTCCCGTCAACCTCCTGGGCAGGCGGAGGACTCCCGCGCCGTTCCTCGAAGGCAGCGGCTTGCATGTGGGTAACACACGGCAGCGCGTGGAGCGAGCGAGCCCGGGGACATCCCCCCCAGGGAAGTTGCTGACGTGAAGTGCAAAACACCATCCGTTGCTGGGAAAGCACTAAATTCCCTTTCCTTTTCTTTTTCTCTTTTCTCCTGTTTTCTCTTGCAGTTACGGAGAAGGAGGTGCAGCAGTGGTGAGTGTCCGGCGTGGCGGTGGGCTGCCGGGGAGCGGGGATGGGGGGCGCGGGGGTGGGAGCCAGCGGCGCGCAACAACCCCCCCCGGCCGTGCAGAGCGAGGGATGCAGGAGGGTGCACCTCTTCTGGGGTGCGGGTGTTACCTTAGAGAGGGGGGATCAGAAAATAGAGGGGGTTTTCCTACATACCCTCGTGCATGGCAGGGCTCAGCTCTGGCTGCTCTCGACCACCCCTGAGGGACAGTGCACGCTCCCTCTCGCCTCTTCCCTCCCCAAATGGGTGGCTGAGGGGAGTGGGGACATGGGGGCTGTCCAGCTGGTGGCCGTGGTTGTGGCTGCAGGAGACTGTTGCTGTCCCAGCGTGTCCCCAGTCGCAGTAGGGCCCGTAGAGGCTGGCAGGGGCTGGGGCC